TATTGAGAGTCAATTAGGAGACGATGACCATGCTCCTGGTCAGTGTTACGGGGGCACTGGCCCCTGTTGCCCCCCCCCCTAGAACCGCCACTGAAACCACCCCTGCTTTTAGGCCTTTGATTGTTGGCTGAAAGCAAAGGTAATATGTGAATGTAGAAAAGAACATACTCGCTACCACCTTTACCTGTCCATCAACACTTAATGCACCTTAAACATACATAACAACAACCAACAGGAACAAAGCTCATCAAACCAAAATACCTTCCAAAAGCGTGCCAAACATCATCTTATAAGGACGCCTCCTGCATGCCTTCAAAGGTCCAAATTATTAAAGGGATAGATGGGATAGTTTGAAGTTGGGTTGTGTCACCATAGCTGTTGGCACACTCTCAGTTCAGAGAAGCTGATGAGAGAACACAGAAACTAAGGAATGTAATGCTGACTATAATATAGCCATCTAAGAGAAAGGGCCACCTAAAAAAAACAATATGTTCAACTGATACAATATTTAAAATATTTACCTAACCTAACGTGCCCTCAGAAAGCTCTTTCCAACAGGAAACTGAATCCGTTATCTCTTTTCAAAGCCACAAGACTCCATTCACTAAACAGTCCTTTTATCTCGCAGAGCACAGGAGCTGCTGGTCTCCCACTGCCTCCATCTGTTAGTTACTTTGTGATTTTGTTTGACTTAAACTTGTTAGTTTGGATTCACCAAAGTCACACAGTAAGTCTTGCTGCTTCATACATATATCACTTTAGTAATGTTTATTTTTTCTAACCACTATTTATATGTCTCTACTCCTCTCTATCACTTGAGCGCCTGCTGTCCAGGTTTACCTTGGCGACCATGATGACGCAGGACGAGCTTTGAGCAGACAGAGGTAACAAGCTGATGATAGCTTTCACACCCGTTTACTGCAAGTCTTAATATTGATAATTTAATAACTCAAATATGATTAATGTCAATGTGTTTATTCATTTCTCATAGAGAGGCTCAGTGTTCCTGCAGGTCATTGGGGTTTCCTCTTCAGAGCGCTGGACAGAGGCTCGGCTGTGCTTCACTCACTGAGTAAGTATGGCAAGAAAATAAAAATAAAAGATCTTACAACACTTATTTATTTCTTGTTTCAGGGTGGGACTTCTCTCTGTCTGCGGCTCCTGAGCGTTAACTGAAGCACACAGCGGCGTCTTTAGAGCTGACCCTCTGTCTGCTGACCGTTAACTCACCGTGTTGTTGTTCAATAAAACACTCAGACATCTAAAGTCAACCTTTGTTTTGTGAGATGTCTTTTTAACTTCAGTGAGGTAATGCGAAGGTGTAATAAATTGTTATAATATAATACATTTATTTGCCCCTTTCAACAAGCACTAACATCTGAGTGGTTTTTCATAGAACCCAGGACAGATGTTTTTAGAGAACACATATCCATGATTTCTGAGAAAAACTTCACCGTTTAGGGAGGTTGGAGCAAGCCTGTCTTCACACAGATACACACAACTATTGACCATCAACACAAATCTAAAAAAGTCCAAAAGTCACAGAAAATGTGGAAATGTAATTTGTATATACATACTGTGTTTTTAAGAAATAGCTTGTAAAAGGAACATAACTGCTAACATTTGTTCGCAATATTAATATTTTAAAGATTTGGAGTTTGTAAGACAAACGAAAATGAAGCTCCCTTCCATCATACTCAAAAAATGTTGGAAGGATAACAAATTGAGAAAATAGAGAGCTATTCTTTTTGGTAAATAAACAACAACAAAAAGACAGCTTTTGACCGGAGGGTGGCGCCAGAGGAGCGGCCATGTTGTTTCATGACTTTTAACAGAGTTTTCTTCACCAGTGTGGTCTCATCTCAGTCTGCTGACATTTTAAATATGCATTAAATTAATTTAAACAGAAAACAAACTGCTGTGGGAGGAAATATGTTTGTTTCCAGTCATCTGAATTTCAATTAAAAACATCAACATTTTGTGAGGAGTTGCAGGGTGGGTTTTTTGTTATGTCTGCACATCTTTACCTGATCCCACACATCAGTACACATTGAATCCTTCAGCTTAATGACATGTTTGCTGCAGCATGGTTAACATGTAAGTGAACATTCAATTAACATTGGGATTATTGGTGTTAAAGGACTTGATGTAAGTGTATCACTGTATTCAGCCTCTATACAGATATGTGTTGCCCTTTACCTGGGAGTCTCCTTTTCTTCTGTTCCTGCACTGGTTTCATAAGATAAACCCAGAGGATAAAAATAAATACAGAAGAATCATTGCTGAAGAGCATTAGTTTATTATTCGCAGGTTGCTTCAGAAACAGGTAATTATTACTAAATGTGGAGTGTTGGATAAATAAATATCAATCATCATAACACTGTGGCTGTTCTATTTCGTCCCTACTGACCGCCAGAGGCGGTGCTTAGCACTGGATATGTCCATCGCGCGCATGCGCAGCTCGAGTACCAAATAACAACAAAGTCACCTGTGACCCACGTGACACCGGCTATATATGCCGGTGTCGTCAGAGGATCTGTTCCTTTCATCTTCTCGCTGCGCGAGAGTACCGTGGCTACATTTTTGTAGCCTACAGCGTTTCGGTTGGGACGTTTGATCTAAGGATTTCTCTGCAAAACAGCTGGTTGCGTGCAGCTTCGCGACTGATCCAGTCGGAGCCACGGGCTTACTCGTTCTCCAGGAGCTGTGGCCGGCTGTGCAGAATCTTCGATCGGACAGTTTGGTGTCGGCTTGGTCGGTGTATGGCATCGTTTCCGCTCCCTCTCCCAGCTAAGTTGTCTTGATTACTGTCGATGCATGACACGCTCTCTCTCCCGACGGATCCCCTCGGCCATTTTCACCCGCACCTCCTCTGCTAGAAAAGCATCTTCCTCGTCTTTAATTTTCTTCTCCTCTGCAAGTTTCTTCTCCTCCTGCAGGCGTATCAGACGAGCCTCCTCCGCTAAGCGCATCTCCTCTTCCTTTCCCCTGTGTAACCGGAGCTGCTCCTCTTTCTCTTCTATCAGGGAAACCTGTTCCTGTATCCGCGAAAACGGCTGCTCCATGTTCCTCAAACGGCACTCCTCCCGCTTGAATCTGGCTGTCTCATACTGCAGGAATGACTTCATCATCTCCCTCAGTTCCTCCATCGTTTTCACCTCCTCACTTGGTCAATCCCACTTCTGACACCAAATGTGAAGCTGACCGTTGAGCGGCCCGACCAAGCAAGGAGGCAGAGGCAGAACGTCCCAAATATAACCCGGTGTGGGCATTTATTAAAATCATAGACCCATGACTCACAGCCTCAATCTCGCTGTTCTCCCTGAACACAGTCAGCAGCCACACGGATCGCACACACCACCCAACAAAACAGGAAACACAGAGCCTAAATACCCACACTAATTAACCCAACAAGACACAGGTGAGGGGGGAGGAGACAACACAGGGCACCAGGTGCACACAATCAACAGCAACAGACATGGGGAAAGGGAACACTTTTCAAAATAAAAACACATGTGCAATATACAAAGCCCGAAGCCGTCAGTCCACAGTGACGAANCCTCAGTTGGTCAATCCCACCTCTGACACCAATTGTGAAGCTGACCAACCAAGCAAGGAGGAAGAGGCAGAGAATTCGAATATAACCCAGTGTGGGCATTTATTCATCGCTGTGGTACATGACACAGCCTCAATATTGCTGCACAGGTGAACACAGCCACAAGGATCTCACCCACACTACCTGTCCACTGACAGGGAAAACTGAGCCTAAATACACACTAATTAACCCAACAAGACACAGGTGAGGGGGGAGGAGACAACACAGGGCACCAGGTGCACACAATCAACAGCAACAGACATGGGGAAAGGGAACACTTTTCAAAATAAAAACACATGTGCAATATACAAAGCCCGAAGCCGTCAGTCCACAGTGACGAAGCCATCTTCGTCACAGTGGGGCAAAGTAACTAAGTCGATTTACTCAGTGTTTAGTTATTATGCTCCAAATATCTGGAACAAACTCCCAGAAACCTGCAGGTCCACTGCAACTCTTGCTACTTTTAAATCCAGGCTGAACACTTTTCTTTCTTTGCTTTTAATTGAACTATTCATATCTCACACTGCACTGTAACTTTTATTCATGTCTTTTATACCTGTGTTATGTTTAATTTACTATCTTTGGTTTTAATGACAGTTTTTAAAAATGCCCTTTTATAATGTGTTTCCGCTGCACTATTTCTTAATGCTCTTAATGTCTTTCATTTTTGTAAAGCAGTTTGAATTGCCTTGTGTTGAAAGGTGCCTTGACGTGCCTTACTCAGGGACTTTAATTTAGTTCAATTGTTAAGGGACTTGTACTTATCTTAATTTGATGCTACTTTGTTCTTCTACCTCACAACAATTCAGAGGTAAATGGTGTACTTCTACTCCTCTACATGTATTTAATACCTTTAGTTACTTCAAAGATGTGGATGAATGATGTGAAATATAATCAAGTGTTAAATCAGACTTTAGTTCCACCTGGAGTAAATTCACAAGCTACCCTGCAGTATACAAAGTCATTCAAACTAGCTGCACCTTTACCAGCTTTGAGAACACTTTCATGATCAATCATTATAAAACATATTATATATTATTCTGAAATGGACCAATCTGCACAATCACTTTTTACCCAAGTACAATATCGCAGTACTTCTCCTTCCACTGGCAAACAGAGAAGATCCAACACATTTAGACATTTTGTGACATATTTTCCATTCAGGAAAATTAAAATAGAAATAAAATAGAATACACATATCAAATAGAAACAGATTAAATATTTGATGCAACACAAGCAGTTACATCGAGTTTCTTTTACATATATTCCTGCAGTAATTCAATTTGTATAACTTTTGCTTCAATGTTCAATATATCTGCAATCAGAGTTAGAAGTCCTTTCAAGATGTCCATACTAAAAGGTGATAACCAGCACTCCGCGTGTTCTCGTTGCTCAGAACGAGATCTCGTACCTACATTCTCGCCTGCTCACCACCAAAGATGGCGTTTTGCTGAGTGCTCATGGATACACACATTTTTCAGCTCGTCGTTATCTTACTTTAAAAACAAATTAACTGCATAGTGAGCTACGACTCCCCGTCAACCTGAAGCCACCATGCAGATCACTCTGAAGACCCTGCAGCAGCAAACCATTCAGATAGAGATAGATCCCGTTCAGACGGTGAGTAACAGTAGCTAACAGGAGCTGACGTGCTAACGAGCTAACATGCTAACATGCTAAGAGACAGATTTCCTTCAGAATCAGAAACAGATTTAGTACCAAATCTGTTTTTAAACATACAAGGAATGTGCCTTGTTGTATTTCAGGTGCATACATTAACACAGTCAAAGAAGAAAAAATGACCAAATAATGCAACTATTATAAACAACTATTAAAATATAACTATTATAACTGTTAAAATGAAGCAATGAAATAAGGAGGAATGTGTTTTATTACCACTTTTATTAGGACTTCAACGATTAGTGTGAATACTTTAAAGGGCAAACTCAACACCCACCTTTTTTTTTTGGCCTTCAACCTAATTTATGTTATTTTATTCCTTTTTATTATATATATTTTTTAGATTCTATTACTTTTTATTATGTTTATGTATTTTATATTTTATTTGAGATTTAATTCCTTTTAATTATTTTTAATTATTTACATTTGATTTTATTCCATTTTTATTATTTGTATTTATTTAGATTGTATTGTATTAATTTACATTTACTTTTTATTTTATTCCTTTTTTATTCAGTCCTGTGTTGGTATTAATGGTTCTTTTTTTAATCACAAAGCTATCTGTCTGAACCTGGGAGGGACGGAGATTGGTTTTATTTATTTTTAGATTGTGTTTAGTTTGAGATAAGAAACGGGTGTATTTATTTATTAGGTTTTTACACATACAAGGCATGGTGAACACAAAGACACAGACAGAAATAAATGGTACTATAATAAAAGCTATTTATTAAAAAACTACAGCGTTGTTTAGACCGTTTTAAGTTCAAATAGCTTTAGTACTCTCTTTCTATCTATGTATTCTTTTTCTCTGTCTTTGTTTGCTTTTGTATATTTAAATGTTGTGTAAATACTTGTCTTTTATTCTTTTTTTAATGCTAAATAGTTTCTTAAAAGTACTTTATTTTTACGTTTTTACCTAATCTTTCAACTTATTTCCTTACAGTGTTTATGTTTGAACCACATGTACCAAAGCAAACCTTCTATGTGTAAAAACCGACTTGATCAAACGGAATCTGATTCTGAAAACCTCCCCACCAACAGTTAGCTTGTTAGCCTGTTAGCTTCCTAGCTGCTAGCCCGTTAACAAAGTCACTGGATTTTTGTCCGCTCTAAATGTGTGTGTCATGGTTTCTTAGCTTCCCCTTCTCTTCAGTAACACTTTAAGTGACATATTATGGCATGCAGTAACGTCTGTGATGGGCCACAGCTTCCCAAACTACGATGATTGCCCTTGCTAATGCTAATGACACTGCTAATTAGTAACGTCAGTTTGTTAGCATGCTGACTTGTGTGACATGAAGCTAACAAGGCTAGCGTTAACCGAACAGCAGTTTAAGAAGTATTTCTGTCACTAATGGTGGAAATCATTCAGATAATTCACTTCCACAATCTTTTTTAGAAGTACTCAGATCTTGTACTTGAGTAAAAGTAGAAGTACTCAGATCTTGTACTTGAGTAAAAGTAGAAGTACTCAGATCTTGTACTTGAGTAAAAGTAGAAGTACTCAGATCTTGTACTTGAGTAAAAGTAGAAGTACTCAGATCTTGTACTTGAGTAAAAGTAGAAGTACTCAGATCTTGTACTTGAGTAAAAGTAGAAGTACTCAGATCTTGTACTTGAGTAAAAGTAGAAGTACTCAGATCTTGTACTTGAGTAAAAGTAGAAGTACTCAGATCTTGTACTTGAGTAAAAGTAGAAGTACTCAGATCTTGTACTTGAGTAAAAGTAGAAGTACTCAGATCTTGTACTTGAGTAAAAGTAGAAGTACTCAGATCTTGTCTGAGTAGGAATACTCTGTTACAGTAAAAGTCCTGCATTCAAAATGTTCCTCAAGTAAAAGTAGAAAAGTATTATCATCTAAATATAGTTAAAGTGTCACTAAAGTCTGATTTAAGAGTTGATTATATTTCACTATGAGTATGGGATTTTATTTTATTTGTTTACGTCACAGCAGCAAGTAAACAAGGCATTGCACAAGTGAAAATGAAAGAGTTGAAAATAAACAAACATAAAATATAAAAAAAACACAACTAAAAAGTAAAAAATATACAAATTGACGGTGAAACATAATATACACTATCCGTCAAATAGACCCAATGAAGGACCAATCACAGCTAACGATTCTGATTATTCTGTCCTGTATCAGGTGAAGGCCTTAAAAGAGAAGATAGAAGCAGAGAGAGGGAAAGACAGCTTCCCCGTCTCCGGGCAGAAGCTGATTTACGCCGGGAAGATCCTGCAAGATGACACGCCCATCCAGGACTACAACATCGACGAGAAGAACTTCGTTGTGGTGATGGTTTCCAAGGTAAGACACGCTCAATACTGCAGAAATCACTGAAGTTAACAGGGTGTACCTTCCTAAGCTCACCTGTCAACAGTTCAGTCTTTCATTTTATTAATTTTCTTTTGGAGGATTTGAATGTCGAGGCAAGTTGATTTATATACAGCACCTTTCAACACAAGGCCATTCAAAGCGCCTTACACAACTGAAAGAGCATTCAGAGATAGTGAAGCCTAAACACATTATAAAATAGCATTTATAAAATAAACTTAAAACAAGCTCATAGTCTGGTTGCCAGCTCTTATGGCGCATTTCCCCTGCAGGGCCTCACACGGCTTAGTACGGTATAGTGAGGCCTTGGTAGGCCCGGCTCACTTTATGCTGCGTTTCCATTACAGTTTAGGAACTGGGGCAGTAACTATAGTAACGCAGTGTAGGCGGAGCCGTGACGTCATCTTCAATGAGAAACACAAAACCAACATCAGCCGTTAGCTNGTATGTAAAGCGCTTTGAGGGGTCTTAAAGACTGGATAAAGCGCTATATAAGTACAGTCCATTTATCTGTTCAGAAACTAGACAAAAGTTAAACAAGTCCAAACCACAGACTGTCTGTGTCATGGAGAATACAGTCGCTGGTTTATTTATGTCTGTAGGCCGTTGTTGTGAGTGTGGACAGTCGGAGCATATACTGCGTTAGCTTAGCCAAATCTCCATTCGAAAACACGCATTNGAATACAGTCGCTGGTTTATTTATGTCTGTAGGCCGTTGTTGTGAGTGTGGACGGTCGGAGCATTTACAACGTTAGCTTAGCCGATCTCCATTCAGACAACACGCATTTTAAAAGGTTTTTCGCCTGCCGTCTGTCTGCAGACTTGTCAAAGCATTAATTCATGGTTTTTACTAACCGGTATCAGTATGTTGTTACTTCGGCATCATTTAGAAACTTGAATTACAATTAAATCACGGTCAAATATGTTTGTTTTGTTGTAGTTGTAGCCCCCTTGCCAGCGATTCTCTCTCTCTAGTTTAGCATACTCAGCCCGACTCAGCCTGGTTGTTGGCCCGCTAAGAACCTTGATTTTATGGGGCCAGAGAAACTGTGAAATAGTACCCGCTAGCCGGTACTATGCCGAGTGGAAACGCAACCAAGAACGGGCCGTGCACGGCACGCTTAAACCGCGCTCCCCGCTGTAGTGGAAGTGCGCCATAATATTCTCTTTTTTCATTTCACCTCCTCCACTGACCTAGAAGGAGTATATGTTTATGTGTGTGTGTGTGTGTGTGTGTGTGTGTGTGTGTGTGTGTGTGTGTGTGTGTGTGTGTGTTGGCATGTATTTGGTGAATGCCTATCTTTGGCACAAAGCTCCTCATTGTTGCAGAGCGTGAACGAGTGACGGCAGCACAGCAGGCAGAAGTGTGTAAGATCTTTCTAAAGCTCTCATACACACCTCCTCCTCTTCCTCCTTTACACATTTCTTTCCCCACTGTGAGTTAGTCATACTTTCCCTCTATTGAAGGCAGCTTTTAGAGTGTCCTTCCATAAATGAAGACACACACTCAACAACCTGTGGCTCATAAATGAGTCTCACGTAATGGCACGATATCATGCTATAACAAGTGATTGTGTCTGCAAATGATCTCCATTTCTCACCTTAATGGAGTTTTTGTTGTGAACAGTTGTTGGGGAAAGGGATGGAAAGGCATAACATGTGTACAGGCTGGAACAAAAACCATTTAAAACGTGTTCAGTATTTTTACTGCAGATTGGCTGCATTTGGTTGCTGTTTCTTTAACACCTGCAGATGCTTAGTGGAGGCTGGCTACCTGAGCTTTAGGCCAGAAAGTACGTCACCACGAACAAATGACAGTAAAGAGCCTCCTTATACTGATAAGAAAAACGAATCGCTGATGAACAAACAACAACGGTTACAACAGTGTAATCTTTAATAGCCATATTTACCAAAATGTTTAAAACACCCCTTTTCCTAACCAACTTCAACAATTAGATGACATCCACATTACACCATAATTACGCGGTTATACCAAATCACAGAAGACTGCTAATGCCTCAATTACAACAACCAAACACTGAGTGAAACACAAAATGAGTCACGGCTCTTAAATTGAGCACACGCTGCTGCATGTCACGACTCGTAAAACAACACTTAAAACTCTAAAAAAGGAAATAAGTACTTTCTTACCTTAAGCTGAACAACGAGGGATAATGGCAAGGCCTCACACAATATGTTGTCTCCACATTAATATGAGATTAATGTGTCATTATCCTGGTAAAAAAAACACAGATGTTAAGTAAGCTACTCATTGTGCTATGCTAGCTTGCCCTGCTAACTAGCGCTTAAGCACTGACCCATTAAATTATATACAGTAAAAAGGGAAAGTTTACTTTGATACAGTAATATTGTCACAATGAAATGTTTAACATACTTCTCTCACTGTGGACTGTTTCACTTTAACAGCAAAGAAAGCACAGGTGTAGTTAATGATGATAGTTTTAGGCTAATGTAAATGCTAAATGAGCTAAAAGTTTAAATGTCTGCTGTGAAAAAGGCTTACAAATAATCACGTAGTCTTACCTTTAGCTGAACTTTGATGCTTTAAATCCAAGAACGAGGGATAGTTGTGTTGTTTCCACACTAATATGAGATAACTTAATGTGTAATTGTCCTGGTGAGAACACAGGCACTAAGTAAGCTGCTCATTCTGCTTTGCTAGCTTGCCTGTTGCTAATTAGCGCTGAGGCAATGACCCATTAAGTCACCTCCAGAAAAACCTGAGACAACTGTCATCTGATATCCAGTAAAAAGGGAAAGTGTTGCTTTGATACAGAAATATTGTCAGCATTCAATGAATCACGGACTTCTCTCACTGTGGACTGTTTGACTTGTAACAGAAGGAAAGGCAAGGGTGTAGCTAATGATGCTAACGATGTGTCTTAGATTAAGCAGTCGGTGTGCGAGTAAGCTAGTATTTCATTTGTCTTTTGAAACAGCACACCAAAGTGTAAAATGACCACTGTGAGGATAAAATATTCCTAGTGAATTATGATAGTTTTTAGCTAATTTAAATGCTAAATTAGGTACAAGTTGAAATGTCTGCTGTGAAAAAAGGCTTACAAAGAATCGAGTAGTCTTACCTTTAGCTGAACTTTTATGCTTTTAATACAACAACAAGGGATAATGGCATGGTCTCCCTAAATGTGTTGTTTTTTTGTTTTGTTTTTATTTTGATATATTTTATTAATCCCCGTGGGGAAATTGTTTCTCTGCATTTGACCCATCCTAGTGTTAGGAGCAGTGTGCTGCCATTTTGAACAGCGCCCGGGGAGCAGTGTAGGGAACGGTGCCTTGCTCAGGGACACCTCGGTAGCACTTGGTCTTGCCGGGACTTGAACTGGTGACCTTCCAGTTGCCAAGCCAAGTCCCTATCGACTTCGCCACCACCGCCCCAAACGTTTCCACACTATGATGAGATAAATTAATGGGTCATTGTCCTGGTGAGAACAAAGGCGCTAAGTAAGCTGCTCATTATGCTTTGCTAGCTTGCCTGCTGCTAATTAGCACTGAAGCACTGACCCAATAACCCACCTCCAGAAAAACCTGAGATAACTATCATTTCATATGCAGTAAAAAGGGAAAGTGTTTTCTTTCAAACAGAAGTATTTAATGAATCACAGACTTCTCTCGTAGACTGTTTGACAGCAGTCAAAGCACAGGTGTAGCTAATGACGTTAATGATGTCTTTTGAATTTCTCAACAAAAAAGCCTTCTCAGTAAGACAACAATACATTTGTTCTTGGAGACATCACAAAAGAATTTATAAAAATGTCAGTAAAATTATGACTTCAAAGTATGGCGCTGATAAAAAGTGTCTTAACCAGTTATGTTACTACAATTTCAAGTTAATTTGAATACTGAATGATTTAACAGTTGAAATGTTTGCTGTGAAAATGGCCTGCTGATTTAAAGCAGCTGTCATGTTGAAAAGTCTCCTTCTTACTAAGGAATGAATTCCTAGCACTTTGTTTGATTGAGCGGTGAATGCCCTTGTTTCAAGGCCAGCAAACAAATCTCATTTGTTCCAGTGTAGCCTACTGAGGCAATAGAAAGTGAATGGCTGGGAAAATGGTTAATGGTTGCAGTCAAACATGTCAGAACTCAAGTAACGTTTCCACTACTCTGAAAACTATCACAGGTTCAAAACAATGCCAGTGTGCATTGCTTACATGTTTAACTCAAATAAATATGATTACAGTACTTTGTATGGTGGGAATGATGAATCAAACTACCTCCGACCTGTGTTTGATATTCCCACAGCAGGGTTTTTGCTTGAATATACTTTCCACTTCCCTTTTTCCATTTTCAAGTTGCTCCAGCAGTAAAAACTCTTGTTCTGCGGCTCCACAATTTGAAGAATTAATTCAACCAATGTGATTACTGCTGTTCCCTCGGAGCTGCTGACGGACCTGGGATAATTACAAACAGTTCTTTTTGATTGGGACTTTCATTGCGTCAAGAAAGAAGGTAATTTATTTAGGATATCTATGATCGTCGTTTTGGTTTGATCTATGGCCAGTGATACGAGCGGTCCCCAGGGTTGCGTGACAGTGGCTCATGTGTCTCACGGTCATTGTCTGAGAGGAGAAAAGGCAGCGTGAACAACAAGGGGACATACTGTATGGGGGAAATCTGACGAGGACGGTGACCGTGACAAGGCTATCTGCATGCCTTTGTGCAGGGCAACACGCATGATGGACATGGCAAGGGGGCAACGAGAGGACAGACGAACGAGGAGTGGAAAGAGTGGTGTTTTTAATTAACTCGGTGTGCATGTTTTCACACAGTGCTTCAAAAACCTCTTAATTGCATTATGGGTGCTTTTTTTAATCCTTCATAATTACATTTCCTGCTTCTCTACAGTATTAGCTTAGAAAAATGTGTCAACCCTCAGGCATTATTTCAGATACAAGATTTCCAGCCAAAAGTAATCATATTCCATTATCGCCCAGGTGGAAATCCTGCTCAGTGTTGTAAAGATAACTGGGTATATTCAAGGTGTTCAAATAATATTTGCAACTATGAAAACTGGAGATAGACATTCAAAACATGCTGCACATACATCATTTGCACCTCCAGACAAACAGCAAATCAATTCAACTTGAATCAATGATGTCATTTACATCTAAGATTTCACTGCTTAGATTGTCTCTTTTCCTATGTGTGTCTCTGTAGTCTACAGCTTCACTGAACAATGCACCACCTGAGGGACATCTCAAATTCCTCGTCGCACTAAATAATGAATTAATATCACTGAATGAGACCGCTGAACAGCTAACCTCCCCCTCACCCCTCCTCCACGCAATCCCCCGGCTTAGGCAGCCAATCAGAGCCCTACCTCTTCTCATAGGCCCCTCCTCTTCTCGTCTGTTATTATATAGTCTATGGACATCTCCAGTCACACACACAGACACCGCTGCTGCTGCTGCTGCCACAAGCAGCTCCGGAGAGGAGGCTCCACTAAATATATTCACCCATTGACAGACTCTGAGAAGCAGGGTGAGTGCATCATCTTTGTAGCTCTTGCATGTGTGTGTGAGGCTTAAAATAACAGACATTTCATTGATGCATTCTTTTCTCTTTCACCTCTTTCTTTGTACCAATTCGTAGGTTTTTATCCGGGGCAGAGCTGGAATGTTGCTATTTGATCTCCTTATCTCATCAGCTTTTCTCTGTGCATCTCTGTTATTGCAGGCACATGCTGGCAGGTATTGATAGCAACAACAACAGAAGCAACCCCACTGGCATTGACGGCACTAGAGGCAACCATAGAGAAACCCCCTGTAGCATCATAAGCGCCAGAAGCAACTATCGGACGCACGCTGAGAGGACTGCCGACGACAGGCAGCCTTTCTAGCGACGTTACCCGCCAACAACAGCTCGAAGATGGGCTGCTCTTCAGGTCGCCAAACCCCGGCGCCGGTACTTCACCCGGACTTGGACTGTGGGAACGGCAGCGAGGCCAACAGCTTACCGCAGGACTCTGAGAACCAGAATCAAGCTTTGAATGGCTTCAGGGAAGGAGAACCCAGACTTCCAGAGACTCTCCCCACGCTGGAGAGACTTGCCCAGGCTACAGGCGGGACAGAAAAGTCCTGGTACCGTTGTGTGTTCCCGTTCGGCGTGATTTCGCTGGTGATCGGCATGGCGGGCACCGGGGTGACGTTCACTTTTAACACGCTGCTCCAGACCAAAGTGGTGTCGGTGGCTCTGCTGTGTGCGGGCGTAGTGATGCTGATCGTGGCGGCCGTCTGCTGGAGGGCCCACAGACTGAGGAAGAGGAAAAAGAAGGAGAGTGGATTCTTCACCGCTGATCAGGGCACTTTGTGATGGAGGGTGGACTTCCCGTCAGATCCTTTTCTTTGTCAGGACGGAGCACTTCAAGTTGGACTGTTTGAAAGAATTTGATGTAGAGAAATCAATGCTTTTCTGCTATGCACTAGCACAGTGATAAAGAGGGTAGAAGAGATTAATTGTACAGGAAACATTGTGTGAGGGAAACTTTTTGATGGCGTTGACACAGACAGGAATATGTTTATTCAGAAAAGGCAAGTTTACCATCATTACGATCTTGAAGAGAAACAAAGTGTTGTGTCTCGATGGTAACCCTAACCCTGCATTTAAAAACTCATAAAACTCTATTCTAATCATAAAGATTCAAAACCAATGCCTAACCTTTAACATTCTTGCAAAATCAAAGGTTACCACCTAGACATGATTGATTGCCAGGGTCAATTGTACGCCCCTTCTCCTGTTCTGCCTTCGTCTTTATGGATTAACTTTAATATTGAGTGGAGCCCAAAGCACATTATAAATTATCGCTCCGAGGATTCTTGTGTCAGAACAATGTGGCACCTCAGGAATAGTTATATACCAATGGTTATTTATCTGCAGCCAAAGCAAAATACGCCTATGTTTTGCTGGTTAAACTGGGCAATTGGCATATATGGGGACATCGTTTTTCCAACCAAGGTTATCATAATAGTAAAAAGAGCTCAGGACCACAAGTTCATTCTGATAAAACCCAGCCTGGATGTAGAGGATTTTCCTTCCCTGCACAAACCACAGTCTAGTTGCCCTTTTGCACGTAGGCCACTTATTCTCTATCTCCTTCAGTGCACTCACTAGTTGAAAGTGCAGGCAAAAATAACTCTAGAAACAGCTAGCACACTCAGAGTGAATAATTCTACACATGCACTCTCTCATTTATGTTTCCACCTGCACTCCAATTTTGTATTACGAGACACAAAGGTCAACACTTTTCTTTTCCTTCCTGCCACCAAGCTTTGTGGCGCAAAAACCACAACCCAGCTGTGCCAGATCAATAGAAAAGTCCATGGAGTCTTAAGCTTCAGAGGTAATGGACTGTATTTTTAGTCGCTGCACATGAAATTGCTCTCCACAGTCTTGGACCTGACGTCGATGACTTGTACGTTGGATGACAAGGAAATCCCATTAAAGGCATGCTTCAGTGAACACACACCAACAAAGAAACAGAATGGCCTGTATACGCTTTCCCCAGCTAACCAGAGGGAACCCCACTTGACATTTCCCTGTGAGCATTGAGGGAAAATCCGTTTATTTCTTCTTTTTATCGGCTGCTCTCCCGTGAAGGATTTACACTTTAGTTTATATAGGCGACTGGATATGAGAAATAGGCATTGAGTTAAATCCTAGCCGGGTGCAGGGAGGATTAACTTGTCATTCCTCATCTTCGAGGTTAGCTGTATCACAGAGTGGTAGCTATTGTGTCTTAATGCCTTTGTCCTGGATATTGTCCTTTCTTGAACACCATACACTAGAATCAGATGACTGTAAAGATCAATATCAATGTGTTTTGAAGCAACTATAGCTATCAGATGGTTCTTTGTAAAGCAAAAACGTAGTTGTGGATACAAAATGTAGCAGTGTGTTACCCACAGTAACTATGATGTGTACGGTCTTTAGCACCAGGTGAGTGTTAAAGAAAACCCAGCAGCTTATTGTCAGCTCTAGCGATGTATTTGTATTTGTTGATGATATTTGATTTCTATCTCTTTGATAAACTGTTTACTGGACATCACACGTGGTTCGAGTTTCTTCTGTATGGAGTTGCAACGACAGCAACCATGCAACCTGTTCTCCTGAAATTAGTACGTTTCCATACGAACAAACTGCATTGTCTAATACATCTAAAAGAAACCCATATTTTCTCCAGGAGTTTGTATGTTTTACAAATATATTTCTAATATAAGCGAGGGAAGGTTTGGGTGGTTCGGTCAAAGGAACAGCGAACCTTCAAACCGGGGGCTGATGTTCGTGACCCTTTTTTTAAGTTACATAATGCAAGTTAAGTTACGTAACAAACATACCTTTTCAGAATCTAAACATGATCTCATTTCAAACTTAACAAAATTGTTTTGTTGGATAAGATGGACTTTTATTAATCCCCGTGGGGAAATTGTTTCTCTGCATTTGACCCATCCTAGTGTTAGGAGCAGTGGGCTGCCATTTTGAACGGCGCCCGGGGAGCAGTGTAGGGAACGGTGCCTTGCTCAGGTACACCTCGGTAGCACTTGGTCTTGAACTGGTGACCTTCCAGTTGCCAAGCCAACTCCCTATCGACTTCGCCACCAAAGTCGAAGTTTGAGCTGTTTGGTTTTGTGTTGAACATTCCTACCAAATAGAGTTGTTCCAACACTTTCCAAGCAGCCTGTTCTCCTGACAATTAATCTTTATTACAACTAAACTGCATTGTAATTTAATTGGCAATGGGTTAGGGTTAGGTAAAATATTCTCCTGGATTTTGTTCGTTTTTGTTAGATCCACATATATTTCCAATCTAAGCAAGTAGAAAGAGTTAGTGGCTGGATGGAGTAAACAAACCTCGAGCCTACACAGGTTTTCACTCTGATTTTATTAGTTTTTTTCAGAGCACATCTAGGATGGTAAAAGTGTTTGAGTGGGATAGACAAACATCATACCTTCACCCCCGAGGCCGATGTTTGTGTCCTTCGTGAACCAACTTTCTTGATCAAGGTTAAATAATAATAATCTTTGACCACTTGGTTTTGTTGCAGTTTGGATTTGTTTTGTACTTCAATTTGTTTACCACATGTTCAAAACTGCAACTGAAATCCAGGAGAAAATATGCTTTCCATTAAACTTAACTGAGAATGCTGCATAGTTTTTTGGGGAATTTAATATTGAAGAACAGGACTGTCACATATTAATGTTTACTGTGTGTCACCAAAGCTACACTTAAGCTGTTCCTTTTTGGTTTACCTACTTTCTTTTCCGTGCCCTTTCACAGTTTGCTAATAAAACCCAAGATAATCTATGATAATCCCTCAGAGTATTGACCTGTTCATTCCTGTACACACACATTGTCCTGATATACTGTGTATTCTCCTTATTATGGACGTATCAGAAATACTGTAGGTACTGTGTCTTTCTAAAACTGTAGCAGCCTTTCTGAATGTCCCCTCAACAGTGAGTGTCTTATGAACATCTTTGTACAGACTGTATTTGTGTATCGTCTGTTTTGAGTAGACACAGATTTAGACACAGAGTTCAGTACGTATCTATCAGTCGCCCACACTATTATTTTATTTGAAAAGCTCTCTGGTTGTAATAATATGAAGTGTGTTGCTGTGAGTATTAATTCTAATTGTTTCATTCCAAAATAACACATCTGCCATTTGAAGATATCATAACAAAAGTGACAATTTCCTATTAAAGTGAAGCACATGATTATTATTATTATGTTTTGTAACCGGTCACAAGTACATTTCAGAATGTATTTTTTTAGGTCGAACTGAAATAAATACCCACGGTTTTCGAATGAAACTATTCCTTTTCTTAAGTGGTTGTGGTCAATTTGCTTTGAGTGTGTTGGCATGGCCCAGCTTTTCTCTGAGTGCCTTTTACTTGCAACATAAATATTCCCCTGTTAGGTGAACAGTAAGTAATGTAAGATGTATGTACAGGCAAGCTGATGCCATTATTGGAGTGGCCCAAGAGGCAGAAATATTTGTATTCCAGTCAAATTGGTCTGTACACGTAACTCTACGCAATGGTTTATTTAGTTAAAAACAGAAAGAACGAAAAATATATTTATTTTTTGGCTCAAGTGTGTTTCTCTGTTGTTTACTGTAAGCTGTCTAACTCCTGGAATAAACACAAGTCCTTTTTGGAAGGAAGCTCTACAGATGTCGTTTTTTTTTCACCTCGCTGGGAAAGTGCTTTTGAAAAAGCCATTTAGTGTCATTAGTGAAGTCATTCATAAGGAGCATTTGGCGAGCACTTAGCAGCAGCTCAGTGATGTGAGCACCATTTCCCCCTCATTTACAACATATGTTCTCATTCTGTAGTAAACACAGGGAACACATGCTACAGCTGGTGCCATTATCTTATAATACAGCACTTAAGTTGATTTATAAAAGGCAATACATTAGCTAGAGCACAGATGGTTTGATTATAAGCCAAAGACAAAAACATGTTATTCATTCAACTACAACTCTAGGAGAAAATCAGTATGCAACATAGTTTGGATGTAGTATTAACTAGAAAAAAGTACAATAGTTGTCAGTTATTATGTCATTTGGGACTGTGTGTGCCTCGTTCCATATCATAAAACTAAAATGTAAATATCTTTCAGATGGCTTCGGCCATTTCTAAGGTCTTTTTAAAGTAAGCTTAATGACGCGGCCTCCTTCAATACTTTAGTATCATGTAGAATCAATGAAAGGTAAATTAGAAATGAAGGTTTGAAAGCATTATAATGAGACAATGCTAATTTAAAGGTTGGATATGGCGGTGGGGTGGACTTAGTGTGCTGGACTTAGAATCAGGGGATAGCAAGTTCCCACTGCAGTCAGCACGTCGTTGTGTCCCTGAGACACTTCACCCCAAATTGCTCCTGTGGGGATTGTCCACAGTACTGAATGTATGCAAGTCGCTTTGGATAAAAGCATCTAACAAATGACATGTAATGTAATGAACATCTTTATATATTGAGTGTTGAGATATGCTAGTAGGCCCAGACCCCAGGAACAGCGCCAGCCATTTTCGTAGTGGCCAAACGGAGGTACTACAACTTCCATTCTAGGAATCAATCGGCCAAAAAAACCGTTTTGATTTACATTTGGAAAGAACCATTTTTATATAAGCATGTATTTAAATGTGAGCTAAATAAACTACCCGGTACGACGGCTCTCCGCCTCAGACGCTGCATCTGCTTTCTCTTTATACATCAGTGAGTGTGTCTGAACTGCTAGCTAAATACTAACACAACATGCTAATGTGCTAACATTGACAAAGCAAACATGCCAATTTAATGTTTCCTTTTCCCCCATTTGAATTTAGCACGCAAAGCAATGTGCTAATTACCAATTAACATAAAGTACAGATGGGGGTGATGGGCCTATCCTTAGTTTTGCAGTTATGTGAACATCATAGAATGAGTTGCATTGGATCACCAAAGTCATTTAAATTCAACTTAAAGCATGAATGCGGAAAAAATATCACTCAAAACCACAAGTTGAATCCCTTAAGGCACAAGAAGAAAAGTCAGAGGATCTTAAAAAGCATTTGCATCCATTATTTCATCCTAAATGTCAGTCATTTTAGTTAAATTGTGATAAATTCTATTCTCAGAGAGAGTGAGATTACAATATTCATGAAGCCGAAGAATTTAAATACGATTGTTTAGCGTTACGGCATCAAATCCTTTCATGCAGCAACAAATCATCTCTCGCTTTTGTTGTCATCGTCCCGTCAAATTAGCATGTCCCACATAACTTCTAATTAGTGTGCTCTACTTATTAGTCACGCCTATCATCCAGACACTCTCAGCCGTGAGGACCTCTATTGATTTCCAACCAAAGCATCTCGCTCATCGCCGTCGTGGCACCTTTGTGAACGCAGCTGTTTCAATGATTATTGAAATGAGCACCCATCGTGAATGCGCCGACGCTTTCTCCTCTTCATCGTCTTCCTCCTCCTCCTCCCATCCACCCGTTTATTAGGGATTGTGTGATTCTCCCTCCATCTCCTATACTCCCCCTGGACCGAGCTAAAAATAACCGGGGCTGATGCAGAAAGCAAAGGGTTGGTTGAGATGCTGGGGGAGAGAGAAATGTGTAAAAAGGGCAATGTGTAAAAGTGTAATTTGTTAAATTACACCCCACAATTTTCACATTTCTGTAGATAGACATAGGACATTATACTGAGTGAAGGGTTGATTCTCAGATTGATTTTCACATCAAACCTTAATAAAGGAATGGTCATTTAAATTGACTTCTTGTGGTTTGTAGAGAAACCTCTAACCCTAACCCTGACGTTATTAAATCCTCAATCAATTCAGTATGCAATTAGAGCATGCATAGGCTACATCCGATATCAAGATGTGTATATTGTTACGACCCGGGGAAGTTATGTTGTTTGTGTGCAGGTATTTTCTTCCTCCTCCTGTGTCTGTGTGGCTGCGTATGAGTGAACAGGTGGTGCCCGGTAGCTGATTGGCTGCCCTCGACAGACTGATTGGTCCACCTGGGGAGACGGGAGGATATTTAGCGGCAGCAGTGCAGTTCCTCGGCCGCTCTCACTGACTAAACTTCTCCTACTCCCAACGCGGCGCTTATTCTGAGATTATGTTCTCTGGTGCTGTGTTCCCACCTTGATGTCATTGTCCTTCTCCTCTGGCTGCGGGCCATTTATACCTTACCTGTCTTTGAAAGACAGATGTATGTTCTCAGGAGTACAAAACCTTTTTGTTTTCTCTTCCCTTTTTGGATTGATCGTTTTCTCCTTTTTAAGTTAGTATAGGTAAGAAGCCTGTATATTTATTTTCTCGGTTAGGTAAGATTTTGAGTTCTAAGGTTTGTGTCAGTTCTGTGCCAACTGTAATATTCTCTGATCACAATCCCCTCGTGTTTCTGTCTCGGATGTAAAACAGCAATCACCGCCTTATGCCCCGGTCCCTGTTGCTACAGGATTCCAACATCCAAATTTGCTATAAAAAGGGTGTTGATAATGTCATGGCTGATGCTCTGTCCAGGTCCCTATGAGTCCAACA